CATTGAAATAAACATATCATTGCTTCCCAAAAGGTATTCTAATCCAGGATGGACTTCAGTTTCGACTTTTTCTACGTCGTATCAACACCCCTCATGACAGTCCAGCTTGTAATCTCGACATGTTAATCACCTCTCCACATTGCCGCGAGGGCGCTTGGATCACAGAGCAGATATGCATTTCGAGGAAGGCCAGGCATCTTCCCATGTCACTTTCTTTCATGGTATTTTTATGAGGCGAAATTATATTTGCTATAACAATCTACTACATTATTTACATTTCGGTTATAAGTATGGCTTAGAGACTAGCAATAGGTCGCTTATCTATAAAGTGTATTCACCCTATTTAGTTTACTGTGATATACTCACAATCATATGAGTATATCGTATGTTTCTAGTGTGTTTCACATAGCCTTGCTTTCCCAAGAGGTATTGTCATCCTGGCCAGAATGGATTTCAGCTTAGACCTCGTGTAAGTTTCATCAACACTCCCAAGAGGACTAGAATCGTGATAGTGCAGCATATAATCTAGAAACGTTACCCACTATGCCACACTGCCACGAATACCCTTTTGTCACAGGGCAATTGTGAATTTCAAGGTGGGCCAGGCATTTTCCCATACGACATTTTCTGGTGGAATTGTCGATAAAGCAAAGTTGTATTTGGAATAGCTATCGATTACGTTACTTTTTTCGTATCATGGGAGGTTTTTCAAGACTTCCAGTAGATCTGACGCCGCAGTTGTATTGGTTAACTTGTCTGCTTTATATGCTATACCATCACAGTTCGAGTCCCACAAGGAGTGCTAATGAGACAGACTTCGGCAAGGTAAAAACTGCAGTCCAGTTCCGTCTGGATGAGAATGCCTTTTGGTAAAGCAAGGCAATGTGAAATTCAATGGAAAACATCAGGTATACTCATATCATTGTGGAAAAACTCAACTACCTTAATCTAATTAGGGTGAATACAGCTCTCGGACCATTACTGTCGTTTAGACCGATGCGCCGCTACACAGCGCTCCATCACGACTGGCTAGTTCTTCTGAGAATTCCATTTATATTTTCCCATTTGGCCATCAAACTGTAACAGAACTACTTATGATGTTGTCTTGAAGGCTACGAGTCAAGCAAAGCCAAAGGATTAACTTGCAACAAGGCATGGCGCGTCTTCCAACCCCCAGAAAAACATACCAATAATCAGATATCTGAGATGTGTTCACCCTATTTCGTGCAAGATGAAGAAGGACTGATAGTTGAATTTTCCCACAATGATATGAGTAAAGCTGACGTTTCAATTGAATTACACATAGCCTTGCTTCCAAAAAGATCGAAACTGCAGTCAACCCCAGCCCGAATAAGAATACCTTTGGGTAAGCAAGGCTATGCGAAAATTAATGTAAACGTAGGGTCTGCTTATACCATTGTGTGAAAGTTCAACCACTAGTCCTTCATCGTCTTAAACCAAATAGGGTGAATATATCTCATACATCGGATTTAATGGTAGTTTCAAATGACAAAAAGACCTATAGTCAGTCTGAGGAGGTCTCGAAGCCATCACCATCTTATGGAATAAGGGAAGTATTTACCCAAGGTCGCATATTGTGATGAAGGACTAATAGTTCAATTTTCCAATAATTATATGAGTAAGCTTCCTCTATGATCCCAGCTCAATATATGATCTGAAAGAGGCGTGAATAGCCTTGAAATTCACGTCTTCCCCTTGACCTACTGGCAATATGGCGAAGTGGTGACATATCAAAATGGTACACCATGCCGCCTTGGTTCAATTCTCTTGGAGGGCTGATGAAATCTTATATTTTCCTTCGTCCTGGATGAAAATATCATATAAGGAGAAAAATTAGGTGAAACATCCTGAGGCCCAATCATATGATGGTGGGAAAACTCAACTTTCAGTTTTCTCACTTTGTATAACCCTATAATCAGACACAAACTGTCGGGCTGTCCCGCCGTTTTTAAGTCAGGTGCCTTTTTACTGTGCACAACAAGCATAATCGGCATTTTAATTATTTTCAAAATCATATTCGCAAAACCCAGATTCCATTCCGTGGGCTTTGGGCAGATGGATATTCTCTAATGTTTGGATCAGTAGGCCGTTTTACTACTTAACTTTGTCGAATAGCCTTAATTTAACTGACCTCCGATTGTGAATATCTAGATCGTCTTAAAATGTTTTCATTTGGCTCAAATCGTATCTCATTGTAAATTGTGAAAATAAGGAAAGAAGGTAGTTTTATAATACATTATCAGATTCTACTCAAGTAATATATTGATATTTCGTGGAAAAATATGTTTATTTTTATGCAATATAATGTTATTATTTTTCACCATCAGAGCTGTTAAAGGCCCTCGTTACAAAAGTACATCATCCTCGTGCGAACTAAACTTGTAACTATCTTTTCACACGAATATCCGAAGAGTAGGTTAATCATATTGTCTATTAGGCATTCCCGATACAATCCACAGACCTGGACTACCTTTCGAGATAAGAAAAATCACATTTTCTCTTTATAGCCGAAAATGCATGTTATCTGGAACTTAAGATTAGAGTCTGTAACTATTGTTTGCATACCTCGATATTTGGGACTTTAGCCATTTCATTAAAATCGTCTGGACTTCCCGTTATTACCACTCGCTTAACAGACTTTTTAAATTTATTTTATCTCTAAAACAAATCTAAATCATTCAATTATGTGTTTACATTTCCTCGTACTTACTTAATGCATGCATGATTGCACGCACATAAATGCACTTATTATTTTCCACACATAAATAGACACATATGAATCCTGAGTCAGATGGGCCTCCACTTAAATATGCTCACGTTAAATTATACAAATGTCCTTCACACTCCTACATAATCACATCTGATTTTGTTGCATGACCATACTCCAGCATTCTAAATTCGTGTTTATTAACTTTTATACGCCCATTTATACACGCGCATACAACATAAATTCATTACGTGAATTAGCATTCTTGTACGAATACTTTTGTTCCACCAAAACTTTGTACATCAAAACTTGCACGGGCATGCAAACAAGTAAACATGATTACACATACTCGATCCACATAATTCACATCACACATACTTACCACTGTTCAACCTCCCTGGAGCAGTTCTTTCGAATCAACTCATGGCTAGCCTATTGAGCCAGGTGTACCTGGGAGTAAATACAGATAATTCCGATTCAAACAAAGAGACTCCTTCTCAGATGCCCATCTTTTTGCCGCTGTCACAACTCAATCTGGTTCCTCTCAACTCCACAGCTTCGCCGGTCACCAATGGATTCGCGCCAGTCCGGATTGTCTCGTTGCTAGTTGCCCCCATCTCTACACCCTCCTCAGGTGCATTTGAGCCTAATTCTGAGAATCCTTCCTTAGCTTCCTACTCACTATCATCATCACAAGCAGAAGAAATTGCATCCGATTCCCTCTTCTCATCCTTCTTTGTCTCGAATTCACTCGCCATGGAAACTGGAATCGCACCTGGTCAGGTCCTCTTCCCTAAGACCAAATCTCGAGCTGCTGACCTGGTGCTCGCTGATCCCGTTAGTCTAAGCAGTTGGCTTTATTTTCTTCATTTTGCTTCCTTATTCCTCACATCTCTGAAGCCTAGACGAGGTCAAAAATACAGTCTAGTTGGGAGGAGAGTATTTTTTTGGAGGTTAGACTAATTTAAATTCAATTGAATGGTGGATCATCAATGTCATTCTGAAAAATTCGCACACTTGTCTCTGAGAGGCCAGAGGCCGTTTGGAGTTTTACTCATCCTAAGTCGCTTAAAGTGATGAGGGACCGGTATTGACTCACCCGCAATGAAATGAATGATCCTGGGGATGCCATTAAGTTTCACTTATTCTTTCTTCCAAAAAAGGAATTCTCATCTTGGCTGGATCGGACTGAAGATTCAAGCTCGCCTTGGTCTCATCAGCACTCCCATTGGGGCTCAAATCTAGGCCCTCTGCAACGTATAATTTTGGCATATTTCCACGACAATGGATTGCCAATAGTGCCAGTTGATCACAGGCCAAAGCGCATTTCTAAGCAAACTTGGCTTCTCTCATATTAAATATATTTTTGTAGGATTGTTGTTGAGGCAAACATGTGTTTGCCATTACAATCAACAACGCTAATTGTACACGGATAGAGTGCGATTTAGAGAGTTTCAATAGAACTTTAAAAAGAGCTTAAGTCACACTAGGTCGCTTAAAGTGATAAAGCTTTTATTCAAGGCCTACCAAAGTCTAAAAATCCTAATTACCTCGAAAAGTAGTAACCTTGCCGGTTTTAATAGCAAAAATATCTTTGCCTCGGCTGCAATCCCACCAAAAATTCATGTCATACCTTCGATAAAACTTGATAAATATTAATTTATAACTGATATTTAAACTAATTATACACCGAGAACGTAGATTTTCGAGATTATATTGAATAAGAGTTCCAATCACCTTACGTCGTATAAGGTGAATTTTCCCACAATCATTTAAGTTGGCCTCGTGTTTCTTTCATCACCTTTTTACAGCACAGGGTGAATGGAACTCTTATTTGATTCAAATTTTGACAATTTTAGTGTTACTTGACTATGATTTTTGTTTTTTTCTTTGTTTTTTTCTTTGTTTTTTCTTTGGGCACATTCGTTTCTTTATGTATTCTTGAGACTAGACAATCTAAAGTAGATATCTAGAAAAGCTAGTTTTCTAAGAATCCCTTAATAGATTGGTGTTGAAAAACCTTTCATTTCGTTTTAAACGGCGAGTTGATTGCTGATGTGACTGTAGTTTTGTGTGAATAAGTCCTCTATTCATGGTCCCGCTGCCCAGATGAATCCTTGTTGGGCTTTCGTCTGTCATATGACGAACATCTTCAGAACAGGCCATCATGCTTTGTGACAATTCACCAGAACACGAAGACACGAAAGGTGCTTGGTGAATTGTCGTAGAACATGATGTCCTGCTTTGACGATGTCCGTCATGTCGTAGCTCCAAAAAATTCTCCTTCGTCTTCCGATGTGGCCAACTTAACAATCCATTTAGCTTGCCTCTTCTAAAGAACTAAAAGCTATTCCATTATTCAATAATTTAACATCGTTAGTCAATACTCTTTGATTTATTGACCATTCAGCCCGAGTGAAGTACGCGTTTAACGCCATTTTTACAATGAAGCGCAACCCAAACCTGTCATTTATTAAATACGACTTTTCTCCCTCATTCTAACTTTTCATTGGTATTTTCAATTATGTAGCAAGGAAAGGCTTGTCAGGCTCTTAGTCTCGAAGTTTGGTCATAGATTGGCATCGAGTTGAAATTCCACCCAAAAGATGAATATTTATTCCATGGAGGAATTTGCTATTTTGTATGTGAACATGTTTCGAGACTATTACTACTTCTTTAATAAGTACTTAGTTAATCTAGCTTATTTAATAACTGATAGTGGGGTTTTTCCATGCTGATATAAATAATCTTCATAATGCTAGTGTATTGTACTAAGACGTCGGTAGCCTCGATTATACTTCACTCCGGATGATAATATCTTCTCGGGAGGCAAATTTAAGTGAATTTTAATGATTTCAGAGGCTTATTCATGTCATTGTATGAAAAATTCCACTATTAGTTCTTAAATAATTTTAAGTTATTTAGGCTGACGCAGCAGAGTATTTATTGTTATGGACTTTACTATGTTGGTACTGCAGCAATGAGGACACTTAGAATCTCTCCTTCTCGAGGCTCATTGGTACTTAATGTGGCATACGTTCTGACAGGTCAACTATCAATAAAATTCTTATGTATTGATAAGCTATGATTAAGGTCTCTTGATCATTTATTTATATTTTTCGTTTCATTGGTAGATTTTCGAAACTAACAGGGTTGTATTTACCATATTTCTTTTTGGGAGAGGAAGGACTAGTTATTAGATTCTTTCCTCAATGATCTGAGTATGCCTCGTTTTTCCATTGAATTTCGAATGGTCTTGCTCTCAAAAGTTGTATATAATCTATAACTATAGCAAATATGACTACTTGTGAAAAAGCCCACCACAAAATGTGATATGGCAAGGCCTAGG